TACCCCTTAGAGGTAGCCCCTTCCTGCTTAAAGGAGAATTATGAGGCAAGTGATTTTCACTCAGCCTCATAATCTGAGCCGACCTGTGACAATGAAACTGTCACAGGTCGGCTCAGTAGAATGGGAAGTGAGCGAACACATACCGTCGCTCGCTCACTTCTCGATCTATCACTGCAGAGAGCCGTGACTGTCACTCACGGCTCCCTGCAGGGATTTCCCCTCTCCTGTCCGATCCTCCAGCGCTGACTGGCAAAATGGACGGGGGAGGGGGCGGCACAGCTGGCTCTGCCTCTATATAGGCAGAGCCAGCTGTCAATGCCACAGCTGGGTGGATCCCGACAGTATTGTCGGGATCCATCCCGGCTGCGGCGTCTCAGTATACCGCGAGCTGTAGCTTGAGGTATACTGAGCTTTGGGTCACGGGAGAACACTAGTTTGTGTTCTCCTGTGACCCTTAGGAGAACTATGGGGAAAAGCCCTCATCCCATAGTTCTCTTTTAAAGCTGCAAAGACACATCAGACACCCATACTCACTTGATGTCAGCTGCAGACCCTATTGGTTCTTGATACTATCCAAGAACAAACTCAGCAAGTTTTATCCTTCATGTAAACTGCATATAATTACAGCTCCCTATATCTCTGGATGTAAAAATTGCTTTGACATGTGGATTTTATTCATAGTAAGCTCAGCTTACGTATTTTTCCTTCATTAGTTTGTGACAGGTTAGCTCTAAAGTATTCTCCAAGTAGTGGAGTAATGCAAAGGGAATTGGTTATCTGCAAAATGCAGCAACTCATCAAAACTAATTAGCTTCAGTAACCTGCTGTGGGATACTGCACTTTGGACTATCATTAAGCCTGTATTTATTCCCTAAATTTCTACATAACATATTCTATTTCAGATAAACCTTACAACCCTTTTTGTGAACAGTTTCTGCATTATATGATATTTTCATTTCTTCTAAGCATGGTGATACCCCCTTAAGAGGCAGATCTATCACACCTTGCACTCACAGGATGGCCTTGGCCTTCTAAGTTAAACTATGGCCTTTTATATAAACAAAATATGTGCTGCAGCATTCAATTATAAGTGCATCTACACTCACAGTTTTCTCTTAGCCCTCCAACACAGTGCCACAAATACCTGTTGATCCTGCCAGTGAAGTCCCCCTAGTGCAGCTTTCTGTGATTTTGGGTCAATGATGGAGCACTGCTCCTGATTTCATAGCAGAGTTGTCACCATCATATAGGCTGTGTCTGCCTGCACAACAGTGGGAGGAAAAAATGTTTGCAGGGGGCATGGCTTTTAGCATTGTCGCTGCTGATTCACAAACATGTTGTTTGTCAATCATCAGCACCTGGATCTTTTAAGCCCTCGTTCACACCTGACCGTTTTGTAGCGCGTTCTACGCTCTACGTTCTACGCGCGAACGCTCTACAAAACGGTTAAAAATATAAATTGCATTGTAGTTAATGGTCTCGTTCCCACCTTGCCGTCTTTCCGCCCGTCCCTAACGCCCTACAAAACGGCCCACGCCTGAAAAGGTCCAGGTACTACTTTGGGCCGTTTTGTAGGGCGTTTTCCATTGGGATACAGCCAAGTAGCCTTCGGAATCGCGCGACGGTCGCCCGACTTTTTTACCGCAAATCGCATATGCAATACGCCTAGGTGTGAACCAGGCCCTAGACTGTCACACAGGAGGCTTTAGTTATGCTTTAAATGATGTTGAGCATTTTCTAACCAGAAGACTTAAAGCATCTAGTGGCAGAAAGAAATGACTGCAGGAAACAGCGCCAGAGAGGAGGTAAGTATTGCAACCAGAGATGCATTTTTAAGTTTACACCTCCTGGAGCATCATTTAAAAAAAAGAAATACATTCTGCTCAGAGTTGGACTTTAATGTCCATATATATGGTTACCACTGTAAATATTTTCTCCTGTATGAAACCACCTATCCTCTATAACAGGGGTGCCCATTAGGTAGATCGTGATCTACCAGTAGCTCTCAAAGCCGATGCTGGTAGATCCCGAAGGGTGTGAATGGCGGCCCCTTTATTCCATTTTGGTATATTTATTTCGCTGTGCACACATGATTACCTATTAGCCTGAGTCTGCTGAGCCAAGCTCCCTGACACCTTTCTGGTGGATACTGGTGGTTGCAGTGCTATGTATTACATCAAAGAATATTAGTTTACACAGCTTGTTGCACTACACTGTTTGCAAAATACAGCAAGGTGAGCCAGGAGAGAGAGCGGGGAGAGACAGCCAGAGAAGAGAGCAAAGAGAGACAGCCAGGAGAGAGAGAGAGCGAGGAATGACAGCCAAGAGAGAGAGCAAGGAATGACAGCTAGGAGAGAGAGAGAGCGAGGAATGACAGCCAGGAGAGAGAGCGAGGAGAGACAGCCAGGAGAGAGAGAGCGAGGGAGGTTTTTTTTCCGTTGGTAGATCTCGTGTAGCCTGTCATTTGAAAAGTAGATCTTAACACAAAAAATTGTGGGCACCCCTGCTCTATAACATCCATTCTCAACCAGGGTGCCGTGACACACTGATGTGCCTCCTGGCTTCCTCAGGGGTGTCTCAAAATGTTGTGGTAGTGGGACTGTGATGTGAAGGGGAGCAACGAAGACTGATGTGAAGGTGGCTCCTGATGTAGAAAGGGAACTCTGTGAAAAGGGGGACTGTGATATAAAAGTGGGGCTTCTGATGTGACAAGGGGCTACTGATGCAAAGGGTGACTCTGATGTGATAGGGGGATCTTGATTTGAAGGAGCACTTCAATGTGAAGTCTTTCGATTTTTAGTGTTTCTTTGTGTGGGGTCCCCCTTAGCATCTATGACATTTTAGACTAGGGTGCCTTGAAATTTTTTCATACTTTTAAAGGGTGCCGTGACTAAAAAAAGGTAGAAAAATGCTGCTTTATAATATATCATAGTGGCACATGTCTGCAAGGATCCCAGATCCCATGAAGATATGTGTCTTTTTTCTAATTTTGCTATGCCTGCAGTAATTCAGTGGACTTAGTGGAGAGTGTGCATACAGTCACAGCTTTTGACAATATCATTGTGAAAAGTAAAAGGGTTAACATAAGATGATCATTACCCATTCTGAGCACATCTTGCTAGATCAAGTAGTAGAAACAACCCCCCCCCACCACCACCAGTTTTTAAGGACTTTGCCCCAGGGCCAAAGTACCTTATCCTTTCATCATACCCCTTTGTCATGAGGGTCCACATGAGAAACCTATTTAATACCACACAAATGATTAACTCATTATATATATATAACATAGTTTTATCCTATACAAAAATATCTAATATTGGGTGTCTAATACCAACAGTCATTGTGTAATAGTGATCACAATGTGATTACTTTTAATATTGAACACAGAAAAGGGAAGTGTACTGGAAGGACTAGAACCCTAAACTTCAGAAGGGCCAACTTTGATAAGCTGCGCAACCTAGTGGGGGAAATAAAATGGGAAAACTTATTTCAAAACCTAAACACAGACCAGATGTATAGAGGGAATTTCTTGAAAGAAAAGGGTAATTCCTAAAACGTTGTCTCCTTATTGGAAAATTTCCCCTCACCCCATGTTCCTGTGACAACTCCCAGTCCATGTTCCTATAAGAAAAAACAATTGTGGATTTCTCTTCACTTCCTGTACTGAAGCCGAGGGTCACCAGGACAAATATAATGGGTGTTTAAATCCTGATCTGGACCACCTTTGCATGTTCCAGTTCTTTTTGTTGCAATTTCCATAATATAAAATAAATACAAAATGGAGAGAATGTACACCTTCTATTGGCCACAACAGATCTGCATACGCAGGAGCAGAGAGTAGAGTCATCAATAGAGTCCCTGAGGGATATAATAAGCTGTCAGGTGAGTTATTTCTCCAGCAAAAACCCAAATACAGTTTTGGGTTGGAATGACCCTTTAATGTATGTGATCACTCTAGTCCTTAATAGGGTTCATTTTTATTCCTCTTCTAAGGGGTCAGCCTTGACATCCCTGAGCGATGAACTTGTTACACATTACTGTTTACAGTCAGGGAGTTGCCGCAAGATCCCTGCAACAGCATTTGCTGTGCATGCAGCAGCCGTGAATGATTAAGCCATAAATACCACAACTGCCAAAAAATCCCTTCTGCCTTGAAAATAATCCACACTGTACAGGATTTAAACACTGCGAGGTACAGCAGACCACGACCCACACAGCGCCAGCGAGCTCACAGTTAACACATTCAAATGATGGGCAAACCCACTGCCCAATCCCTGGGCACCTGAAGCATTTTGAAAAGAAGGAGGACCAATAAGAACCCTAGAGAGGAGGGACTCCTAATGCTGGAGAGCTTTTTTTTTGTTCTCCTCATCATTTTACCTTTTTTTAGTTTAGTAAATTACTGCAGTAAGGAATATGCTAAGAAGTGCTGCCTTCTCCTGGCTTGCTATGGGGCAAGAAGCAACATCCAACAGTGTATGTCTTCCTTGATCAGCTGCTGTGCTCATAAGATGCCCCAAGACTGTGAAACTTAAAAACCAGAGCTTGCTATTGACTTTCTGCCGCCAGCAATGGGACAGGCTCAGACACACAGCAGAGGAGAGGAAAAGGCAAGGCTGGAGAAGTCTTGGGGCAATTAAGGGGGGGTGACAGATCTGGAGGGGTCCCCCTCTTCCCGCACACATCCTGTCCACCACCCCCCAACTCGACACAACCTTCCCTGTCTGCTGACACTTTGCATGGGATATCAGGAAACTGTAGCTTTGTGTTTGGAATACAGCAGCGCTGATTTGCTCCTATGACTTGCTGAGTGTCCGGCTGCTAAGTCACTTTGTATGGGCAGGACGCTGGCTTGCGCTTCAGTAAGAGGGAGCCGCTGTCCTTGGTGCTGAACGATCCTGTCTGGCTCTGCCCGCGATCCTGTCCTGCGGATCCTCTACAAGGGACATCTTGCATCTTGCTTCTCTGCAACGCTCCAGCACTTTTCTCCCTGAACAGCAACCCCACAGCACCGGAACCATGTGCAGCCTCAGTGCGCTGGGCATCTACCTATGGGAGACCCTGGTATTCTTCAGGTAATGGATCTGGGGAAGGGGTAGAGGGAGGTGGGAGAATTCTAAATGCTGGTGACACATTACAGCTGCTTCTTTTAATCCCAGACATTGCATATGTGTGATTTGTAACTGGCGTGCTTTACAAACGTATCCGAGGACTTTATGTAATTAGTGCTGCAAAATCTGTAACCGCAGTGCTGATGAAAACACCGTAGGCTGCTGGCAGGAGGGCGGCCACTAGTGGAAGTCTGCGGGTACTGCAACCAAGCGTGCTGCTGTCTCATTTTTTTTTTCTTTTTCTTTCTGCTCGATGTCCGCTAAGCATGCCTTTTAGAATATTAATATTACATGCAAGGCATAATCAGGCGTACATGCCATGATTGGATCACATCTGACACGCTGTAAAAAGATAAATTAGCTCCAGTGGACAAGGTAACCTTCAGCTTGCTCACTGGTATTGCAATATGGTTTTTTTTTATTATTATTATTGGCAGCGGTCTCTTCTGTTTTGCCCCAGACTACCTAAAAAAGTGAATTACGATCTGTAC